TCAATTTTTTCGGTACACGTGATTTTATTTCCCCCATCCCTTTGGATAAAAGTCACGCTTTCACGGGGCGTTTGGTTTTTTGATGTTATTGAAAACGATGGCCCTGTGTCAAAATTCCGCTTTTTACGGCATTTACTCTATTATGACCACTGCGGAAAATATATGGATACAATGAAGGGTACGGAATTCCGTATATTATAGATAGACAGGTAAAAATAAGTGAAATTTGATCTACGTGGCCGTATATCATGCAATACGTATATGACTAATATACCATGATCCGTACACTCGTAATATGCGGGAACTTTGAATGAAGTTCGTATTTACTAAAATACGTATTTTTTTTAATTACACGATCAGATATTACCAAAATATGTTTTTTTTTTATTCTTGTAAATACAGATTTTGTATATAAAACAGTGAATAAAGATGTACTTCAGAATTACCCACTTTCTACAAGAGGAAAGAAATAATAGTCTGACCTGACATTTGTCAGAATAACATTAAATAGTAAAACTTTGAGTATAATGTAATATTTCTCGGTTTTATTAACATGTCAGTTGCATACTGATTAAATAGTTAGTGAAACATCGACAGATCCTCTAAAGTGCCCGTAGCATGTACAGACAAAAATCAAAGGGCTGCAAGCTCTGTGGTATTTTCTGATCTTTGCAATCTAAATCGTACTGTATATCTGTATGTATTTTCCTGTATAAGTTTATTTTTATGTACTTTAATTCATCTTGCAAGGCACCAGAGTTTGAAACATACGGAATTTTGCATAACTACAGTAGAGTTGCATCAAATAATCATTTATGTTCTTTTTTTATGACAGCCACACTTTATCCTTGCATATCATGGCTACTTCCTTAACAAAGACACTTAAAAAAGAGTTTTAAAAAAAGTTTCCTCGAGTGGGATTTGAACTCCAGACCTCTCACACGCTAGACAAGCGCGTTACATTTATATATACGATGCCTGAATAAAATCTAGTCATTCTAAATTTAGCACTTCCATTGCATTCCGGGTTTGTAATCCTTACTAATTTCGAGGTATTTTGTTCATGATAAATTGAAGTAAATAATTTAGCGAAATCTTCTCGCCAAAACAGTCCGACATGTAGAATCTATATATTCCTCTACTTGCCAGTCAGATTTATTTGTGTAGTATTCGGTAATCGACATCGCTAAAAATAGCATTTTCATTGATTAAAATCAAATTCATCCATGCACGTATTTTGTGATTGTGCATTTATTGACAATTCTATAAGACAACGCTACTTTTAAACTTTGAATGCGTTGTAATTTGTTGGATACTTGTACATGTAACAAAATAGAAATATTTCTTTCTTTTAAATCGCTAGTTTGAAGCTGTTTTGAGAACTACTTGCTGTTAGGTTTGTCGTGAAATTCAGTGTCAGAGATTGAATGCCAGCTTTATATTTACTGACCTTCGGTCAGAAAATACAAAAATGACAATATATACAATGTATTGAAATATCTTTATTTTGTATAAAGATTTACAACGCAACACTCCTTTGTGCAGTATCTAGCTCAGGGCCGCCGGTTCGCTAAAATCCACAGACGTGTATTTACATCGTTTCATTAAATTTCATGTTTAAAGTACTGTTTCTAAATTTTCCTGTTCAAAATAAATTCTACCATAAATTTGGCTATACAGTGAAAATGAATATTTGCAAAGGCCGATTTGATAGTAATGTTTTTAATACAGCGTTTATGGTGAATTCTCAATTAATCGTTATTTTTAACATTATGATATTCTAAAATGATAAGCAAAACGAGAGATACTTGAGTTACAGATACTTGTAGAATCGAACGTGCTTCATCTGTAATCCAACACCCACTAAGCTAACGTTTCAAGCATGACTGTTTGCTTCACGCTAATATAATTGACTAAGTTTCATTTATGAACCGTATATTTTAATTTGTCAATATTTCGCCAATTCTGTCAAATTGTTGCAATAGTTTTTGATTACAAGTGAAATTCAAATCCTGGTTTTTAATAGGTGAAATAAAATAGATATCACTCACAGTATATCACTCATAGTGTGGGTAATGCAAAATGTATAGATTTGCAGAATTTCTTGTAGACTACGTATTAATTTATGATTGAATTTCCGTAAATTTCTAAATCTGCATAAAAATATATAGTTGCCTTTTGTTCCTTAAGGCATATTTCTCGATTAAAGTTTATTAATCTTATTGTATTAAAATATCAAAAAGGAACACCGCAAATGATTACTCTCAGCTGAATTTATTTTTGTTTGCTACGCGTTGCCGTTAAACGCCTGACGTCATTTTCTTTACATGCGTCTGTTTACAATTCCTTATGAAGTTATTAATCATGCTTAAAACAAGAAAGAAAATCGTTTGTTTTTCGTACAATTTTAAGAATTTGCAATGGAACATTGTTGTTGTTGTTTTATATGTATTAGTAAAACTCTACATCAATTCTCCTGATAAGCTGAACATTATTGTCTCAAACGTATCTGCATACGTCGAATTTCGTTACAAAATTACTCACGGGGTGGAGGAAATAAAATCACGTGTACCGAAAAAATTGAGTCGGTGACCCCCTAATTTTTTTAGTTATTTTGACTAAGTATACATTTTAAAGGACGTTTAAAGAAAAAAATCAAAAATTTATTTCAGGAATTTTTTAATAAGCCGCTTTAAAGCCGAAAATTGCGGCTAAACTGAACGTCAAATTTTACACAAAAATGACAATTTTCTTTCCATTACTCAAACAATTTTCGGCGTAAAACAATAAATTTTATATCTGCTTAAAGGAAAAAATAATTTCCGTCGAATGCTGTAGGATTTAAGATATTTTGTCCGCCAATGGCGTTGAAATACCCGTAACAGTTGCCAAGGATACGCAACGACGTCATGTTCAAAAACGGGCTTTGATGGTCAACTTTGACGGCTTGTGTACAAAAATTGGCTGAAACTATTGACATAAAATCAACGAAATCCTATCAGAAATATGGTCAATTTTTTGCATGCCAATTTTCACGACGCTACTCGAAAGTTCGCAAAGTGTCGCGTTCTACCTTAAGTGTCAAAATGAGATATGTTACAATGAGTTTGTTTTCAATGTGCAATATGCATGTATGATGTATGTTGAATTTGTACATCATTTTAGTCATGAATACAATATTATTGTTGATTATAAAAACGGAAGCAATGGGGGAGTAACGCATATACATTTGATAATGTAGCTACTTCTTGAAACACACATACAAAATACAGTACCCCATACATGTTGTTCGACTCTTAACGGGAAACAAACTGCACAACTTTTATTTCCATCATATGTTTCTGCAAGTCACCCCCATCAATGATAAACTGCATATACGTCTTCCTTTAAAAAGAGATGCAATAGGTAATATTTTATACATTTGCAAAGTTGCCAGGTTGTTTGAATGAAAAAAGTGATCCCTAAGGAAGCAAAAATCAGCAAAATTACATGAAAATTGCAGAATCCGTTTGAATGAGTCTGTACATGAAACCATCACAAAACCATATAACAAAGTCTGCCCAGACGTGTTGTGTTTTCTTCCTCCCCGGGCAACCTCCAAAAGAAGTATTACATCTAGTGCGTTGACACTTTAATACGGGTTAATTTGATAGGTTGTTTTTGATGCGTGACATTGTGACGTTGACTTTAATATCTTGCACAATTTTAACAAAATGAAACAATAAGTTACTACGTTTTAAAAACTAGATACAATATTTTCAATTGACAGAATGTTTGCAAAAAATTGAACAGTGGTGATAGAAAAATGCTTAAGAGAATATCACTGAATCGTCAATTATGTATGTAAATTGATGGACGATGAATTCATTTTGTAGGTGGAGGTGCAACAACATATACTATTGCACTGCTTGGGCAAGACTTACCAAGCAATGCCAATGACATTGAATATCAACTTATCATTGTTAATGAAGAATTCAAACAGATATCTGTACAAATAAATGGTGAGTATTTGGTTTTGCTGGACTTTATCCTATTAAATCATCTATATGAAACTCTTACGTCTGCCCATCAAATATTGTTTAACTATTTTTTTTTTCAAATTGATTACCATCGCATGAATCATTTTGTCAGTGTTTTTCATATTTTTTTGTTTGTCGAAACGTTATATAAGAAAAAAATGTTCGTTTTGATAAATGTTATATAAGTTATTGTCCAGGGCCATTTATTTTACATAGGCTTGTAAAATAAAAATGTCTCAAAAAATCTTCTATAAAACTACATTGCCCAGAACTAAAACATTTTGCTTGTAGTATGAATTATGTCCCACGTGTCACAATTGGCCCTGTCCTTGGGGTCACTTAGTTAATTTAGATGTGTATAGGAAAATACATTAACGTTTTCTTTTGTGAAATTACAATTCAAAGACCTAAGATATTTGGCATATAGAATTGTCAAGTGGAAATCTACATAGTTTGGATAAATGTTGTATATATAACCCTATAACGATTAATCTCATTAATCGTTTTGTCAGTGTTTTTCGACTTTATATATTTTTTCTTTGTATGAAACGAATACTTTATTAAGCAAAAAAAATCTAATTATATAAGAAAACAAATATGCGTTTATTTCAATAAATGTTGTATTTATATCCGTTATTATATAAAAATGTATAGCAATGTTCACAATCCGCATGATTCTTTGTAACTTCTTTTTAAATAACTAAGAAATATTATTCTGTCCCCATAATTCTAAAATCAGTTTCAATTTTTCGTGCAGCAAGCAGAATATTATTATAAATATTTATATTGGTTACTGCTGAAGAGATACACTTATGAAAGAAGTCTAAGATATAGATTTTTGCAAATTACAGTACACAAAAGGACTCTATTCAACACAAAGTAAATAGTCTAACATTTAAACGAATCTTTCCTTTACAATAGGCATCACATGTCAATTTTCTTTCAACAGACATTCACGGAACAGTTGAGACATTGACAGTGAAAGCTAATGAAACAGAAATCTACAAACCTAAGCACGAAATGGCTATGAATGGATCTGAATTTAGCAATAAGTCTCTTGAAGTTCATTCAGATGACGGCAAGTTTGTGTTACAAGTTTTCTCAAAGAGGGATGGCTACGCAGAGGGCTTATTAGCAATTCCAATACAACAAATGAATGGAACAAACAAAGTTAATAAGACTGTGTACGAATTTGTCGTCGCTACATTTTGTGCGGTCGGTGGGTACTGTCAGATTGCTATAGCTGCTGTAGAAAACAACACAGAAGTTTTTGTCGACATTCCAGAAAAAGTAGAAGAAATAGCACTTTGTAATAAATCTTCGTTTTTTCGCTCACATAGGGACAAAGCCTTTACGATGAACAAATTTGATGCCTTACAGCTTGAAACAACATACGATCTGACCGGAACAGTTATTTTTAGTTTTAAGCCTATTGCTGTATTTGTTGGATCAAGAAATGTAACTAATGGCGGTATTGTTGCTCATACAATGGAACAACTTGTGCCTTCTTCACACTGGGGAACGGAGTTTGTAGTCCAGACCTTAGGCTCTAATGGATATGGTGATATTTTGAAGATAGTGAGTCACTATACAAGCACGGTGGTAACCATGAGTGGCTTCCCGTCCTTCAACATGACAGAGAGATATCAGACCGTGACACGACGGCTTAGCAATGGGACGAGAAGTCACATACAGGCTTCGCACCCAATACAGGTACAGGATATTTGTGTTTTGATTGAAATATGAGTACTTTAATTTATAGTTCCTATTTATTTCCTCTCAGTGTGTCTTTAAAAGCATTTATTCTCATATAATGTCTTTATTATAATTGTTATTATTATTATTAGCTTATTATTATTATTATTATTATTATTATTTTGTTATTACTATTATTATTGTTGTTGTTGCTGCTGCTGCTTAAAATGAATAATAATTATTAGTAACATTATATTAATCCCCTTTTAAAATAATTGACTTGAGTAAGTTATAAGTAATTAAGATTTGTTTGTATTTTAAGGTAATTCAGATATCTGGACTAACATACGCCGCAAAAGACGAAATATCAATGCTTAGTATGACTGTAGTTCCATCAGTTCAAAATTCCTGGCACTCCTTTCAGGTTGCTTGTCCGGATAGTTACTCAACTACGCAATTTCAAATTGTTTCAGGTAAAACAAGCAACACCTATGTTTACCTATTTTGATTAACATATGATATAGACAGTGATAAATCCTAGTTATTGCTTTTATATTGAAAAATGTAACAAATATGATCAAAGTTCGAAAGTTTGTTTCACTTTACGTGACATGTTAAAATATATGTTCAATTGTAAGCATTTGAAGTCATCGTGCATTCATAATATGATCTCCAACAATAAAAATATTTTTTCAGAAAAAGGATCATGTTACAAAACTTCTGCAAGTCGTTCGTACCAAAATGACCTTCTTCACTGTTGGAAAACAATAGATCGTTCACGAGTGAAATACACCAAATACGTGATAGGGAACATTCTTGGAAACGCTAGTGGAAGTGTTCTAAATCTGAAAAATGAAGCATCTAACATAAGCGGAATACTTAAATGTGGCCAGACTATTTTGTTGCCAGTTGGAATTCTATACAATGAGGTTAGATGTGTATTTAATATCAACACTTTGGAGGCGACGCAACTGATTTTGTTATGTTCTTGATAATATTAAAATGCTCATAGAAACATTCAACATTGATTCAAAACTTGGTCTGAGTTCCAAATTCAAAGTGTTATTCTTTATAAACAATTTTTTGTATATGTATTATCATTTTATTGCTCCTAATTTTAAATCATATACATATAAGCTCCACTATTCGAAGCAAAGCGGGTGCTATTGAACTCACCCGAGGTCAATCGTCGGCTTAGCCGTCACGCTTCAGTTTTGCTTTTTCGTTGGTATCTCAAAAACTGCTGAAGGGAATTGTATTTAACTTTACACTTTTGTTCTCTTTGATCTCTTTGATTATCCAACACAATGGACTCAGTCCCATAACCCTGAGTTGCCGTCTTACAATGTTTTGTCGCTTTTATTACCTTTCAGCACTCGGAATATTTTTTTTTCGCTGTCTTACGAACAGTCTTTAGCTATTTGACGGTTTTATACAGCTTTGCATTGCAATTTTAGAATTCTTTACTTAATGACTTTAACAATACTGTTTTGCAATTACATAATGCATTATATTATTTAAGAATCTCGTTTACCTAATTACAGGAAATATACATTTAGGCGACGCTAAATAGATTTATTGTTCTACAGAGTTTTTTTTACATAAGAACATTTCGGGCGAGCGAAAAAAATATGTTTTCTTTTCTGAATACATAATTTTGATGAGCTAGCGAAGAAAAACAATCGATACAAATTCGCATGTCTGAGTAGCGAGCGAAGAAGAAAAAAAAACAGATTAAGTCTTTTTGGACCCAAATTCCTTTAAAATTATGAAAAGTTCCAGTATAAGCAAGAGAGTGGAATTTATAATGTTTTACATTTAGTGACATTTTACCATCCACTGATACAAAATGACTGAAGGGGTAAAAGTAAAAATAAATACATTTTGCTATATTTATTTTCAAAATTGTATTTTTTTTTCGAATGAAAGAGAAATAACTCATTTCAATTGGCCCTATATAATTTCTGTTAATATTCATCAAAGTTAACATGTTTTCAATTTGGAAAAAGAGTGGGGCTTTTTAAGCCTTTTTATATTTAAGTAGATTAATATGGCGTTCTTATCATTTTCCAATAAATCTTTTAAAATATATACTCAATTGATAAATCCATACGATCCCTATTTATTTGAATGACAAGAGTTTTTAACCACTTACATTGACATGTGTTCTTTTCTTAAGAAATATTTTGTGTCGGCGACATTTTTATTGTAATGCAATAATTCGATAGTTCAAATTGAAACACAATATGGTCATGAAAGGATCTATTAATTCGGCTCACCTTCACAATGAAACAGTAAGCATAATTATATTTTAACCCTTACCAAGCTATATGTATTATTAACAAATGGACATGTCCAACGTTCAATGATAAACCATTTATCATTTTTTGAGAAAATAAAATACAATTCACTGACTTAACAGCCATCAATGCAAATCATGATCAGGTAGCATGTACACGCCTGTTGCCTGGTTAGAATCTGTTGCCGGCAACAGTTAAAAACACTTTGAAGCAATTTTGAATAACAATAATGGTAATCCTACACCAGATAAAATGTGCGGATCTATGTTTGTTTTATCAGATAGGTTCACAAAATTTCGACAAGAGTAAAAATGCATCTTCAAAGAGGAATTTGTTATTCTATTTATTTTCCAGTTCAAGGGTCAAATGTTGGCATGAATTTTACTGAAATATGAAAATTGATAGCAAAGCTTTATGCAATGTAATATTTTTAAGCACCTTTTTCAAACAGCAGAGGGTATACATACTCACACGCGCACGCGCTCACGTTTTATTATGATGCTAATAAAGTCATGAGAGTTCTTCAAATTTATTTTCTTTCCCAGACAATATGTTATAGTTATAATTTATCATAAGGATATAAACATTGAATATAAATATATCCGTTCAAGTGTAAAAACTTTGAGGTACTAAAAAATGATTTAGACATGTGCCTTTACAATCATTTAAATAGAGCTATATATTAACTTTGTTTTTATTTTACTTTTTTCACTTATCAAGGAGTAAAGTAGATTTACTTTCTCACGTATCAATGATATCAGCATGTGAAGCTATTTTTAGCGCTGTCAATCATCGGCACAGCCTAAACACTACACACTGTGTAGACAGGTTAAACTTTCACAGTGTTAATTGAGTTTGGAATGTTCCAAAATACTTTTTTCACGGGAATATCTAAGCTTTATTTTTCTTTTTTTTCTGTTAAAGATTTTTTAAGATGCGTCGATGAAAAAACAAAAAGTGTTCCCGTGCGCTGCATCCAACGAACAAGAAATCAATTTTGTGTTACTTAATAGGCATTTTTATTTTTTGTCTCAAATGGAATTTTAATAGATGTTATAAAATCAAAAGTAAAATTTATTTTCTATTATTTTCTAGAAATATAATGCACTCTTACGTGCAGTTTTCGATATAGAAGCGTTTTTGTAAAGACTTGAAACTTGATGAAATCAAAAATATGTTGTTCTTGGGTATGTCGGGGGCCGCGTCCTGTGAACGTTGCCTTTGCCTTGTTGATCTTTATTCTCGTCTTTCCTTATTAGTCTTTATTTTATTTTTGCTGCAAAAAACCTTGCTAGCATATTTTGTTGCTTTTGTTGTTGTTGTTTTTCTTTCTTTCTTTTAAAATTCTTGTTACATGTACCTTGTATTTTATAAACGTATGATTCACCAATACTAAAACATTTGTTGTTTGCAGTATGGAAATACTTACAAAACACTGACAAAAATATATGTGACACATATAATAGTATTTCCTCCTTTCCCTACACATTTTGTCTGGCAATAAATGATAAACACTCTTTCTTATACAGAATGTGTTTGGAACGATTCCTGTTGAAACTTCTGAATATCCTGGAGGAGTATGCAAAGGTATTTAGACACAAACATAATTTTATAACTCTATATTTTATCTATTTAGAAATAAGTAAAAATATCATCTGCGTTCTATACATATAAAAATAGCTTTAGATATTATCATAGTCATATCAGCTTTCTTTCTATCTTCAAACAAGCTATAAATATTATAAGCGTTCTTGACATTTATCAGCACTCGTTTTGTTCAAAAACAAGTAATAAATATTTGCATTATGTCTATTTAAGATATAATATCGGTCTTAGCCGTGTTTATCGGCTATTTAACACCGGTATGGAGTTTTGATGCGTATGAATTGACCACGAAGGCCGTACTCATAAAAAAGTCGATAAACACTGCTAAGACCGATATTATTTCGATTCTTACACTATTAAATAAGGAAGATCATTAATGTTATTTTTTCAAGCGGAAATAACTTCCGGTGGCGATTTTCGTATAATGCTGTTCGATTCTCGCACCCTACTGTTGCGAAGATATAGAAATTATTAAACAAAGGAAATAATAAGAAAATAATAAGAAAAAAACGTTATTTTATCAAGTTTTCAACAATAAAAACTTACGTCGTACTGTGTTAACATCAGTGCCCCATTTATCACTCTTGTATGTATGAATTAACGTCAGCTTGTTTATGAATGAGTTGTTTACTTAGGATGACGTCATTACGCTGCTTAGGGATTGGCGCCGTTTTGTCAAAATATTTTTTAACTGATATGGATCTAACACGTGGCGTTAGTGTTTGTGAGATATTATTTCGGTATTGTATGAAAAGAAAATATTATAGAACTAAAAATATAAATAAAAATGTTTTTTTATTGCTGCTAAAAAAGGTTTTGTAAACTATATAATCGAGGGTGAAAACATAACAGCGCATATATAAGTAGTCCCTTACCGGTGTTTACTGGCAGTTTAACACCGTTTTTTTCCTTCTTTGTCTAAAGTGACAAAATCACGTGGAGTGTTGAAATTAGAAACAAAATATGAAAATAAGTTCTTTTTTTTAAAATACATGATAAATATTAACTGTATTCTATTTATTTATCAACGTGTCGTCAATATTCTGAAACAAGTAATATATATCATAAGCGTTCTGTTAAGAAATAAATTAAAATTTTAGTCGGCGTTCTTTGTATTAAAAAAGCAATTGTTAACTCAACACGATTGAAGATATTTAAAAATCTCTTACACAAGCAAGAAACCAGTTCCTCAGCACTATTCAAAGTCTGTGACATGTATCGAAGAAGTTTACTTTCGTTACTTCTTAAAGATGAAGTTATGACCAGTAGTGCAATCAATGATTTAAAAAATAAATATAACTGTCACATGATTAGATTTTTAGCATAATTGAAAACAAGTTCTTTATTACTCGATGTCATCTTACAGTGCTTGATTTTCAACTCTCTTAACTTCATAAGGAAAGGCGTAAATGCACACAAAGCTTCCAAAAAGTTTAGTTTCGTGTAAATACTCACAATACTGCTCCTTTCCTACACACAAGCAAGAAGAAACTAATATTTCGATGAAATATCAAAAGTTTTCAATATCGTCAATGCACCAAGTACGAATTGTAGATAAAAATCGTTGGGTAATTAGTCGAATATGTCCCGTGCACGTATTTTT